GAAGCTAGCAAGCTATCCACAAGGAGCAAGTCAATTCCTGGATCCGACAGGCAAGGTTGTCCAGGGAGGTTTCGCCATGGAGCTCACCCAGGACCAACGCCTAGATGCCCAAAACATGATCACGAACAGGGAAGCAATTCTATTTGCGGATCTCGACCTGAATGAATGTATAGAAGGCAAGCAGTACCATGATGTGGTTGGCGGATATCAGAGATTTGACGTTTTCTCGTTGCAAGTAAATCGTCAGCGTCATGAGCCTGTACAATTCCATGGCGGGAACGAGAATGGATCGAGCCTGAGGAGCAGCAGCCTTGGGAACGATGAGCAGAAAAGTTCCGGCGGGAAAAGGAAGGGAAGGGTCGGAGTGAGATTATTGAACAAAGATCCGGTGGAAGCGGGATGAATGGTGACTGGCCGAAGGTTTACGAGTAGTTACCGGTAAAAGGGGCTCATCCTAAATAGATATAACCTCGGGAGTTTGTGACAGTAAGTTACAAGGACAGATCCCAACTTCCACCTTCCTTCTTGTAGACGAACCGAGACTGCTAAAGGTTACAGCCTCGCTATGTATACTCGGTACGAGGTAAGTACTCCTGATACTGCAGAGACATGATATCCTCTGTCCAACTTCGAGGTCAATCACATGTTTGCGTCTTGACAAAATGACACAGAAATCAGTCATTTGAATCTTGCCACGTGACTACACTGCATATCTTGGCGTCGCGGATGCCGAGTTTATCCGTTGCCGATCAAAATTTCCATTTACCTTTTCGGCAATCGAATGATTGACACTGGAAATTCAAGCAGGGTCGTTGTCGCCTTGCATTGTACAACCAGCAATACCGTTCTTTTCCCTCTTTGACTGTATAGTTCTGCTTCTCTCTAGCCTTTTCTCCGCCACTCGTGCAGGCTTCGTTTTCTCCATCTCCTTCTAAGCTAACCCCGCAAACCGTTCATGACCTTTCCTGCGGCGACTCCCCAACCTTTCCAGGGTACCAGCACAAGAGGAGAAGGTCCTCTGATCCTAGAGTCGAAGGAGACCGGACAAGTTGTACCCGGGGGACAGAATGACCAGGCGACTGCGGTGACCAAGGACGGGCCCAAGGCGAAACCATGGGCCCATTTCGTCGCGGGAGGGTAGGCGCCCAAAACTAGACTCCGTTCTATGACTGTGTACAAACTCATGATGTTTTAGTATCGGCGGCATGGCCGCGGCCACCCTCACCTCTCCTCTTGACGTCTTGAAGACCCGATTACAGTCCGATTTCTACCAAGCGCAACTCAGAACCCTACACGCTCAACATCCTTTGCCACATAAACTCACCTTCACCTCCGTCCCCAGAGCAGCATTCTTCCACATCGCCGAGACTGTCCAGATATTGCGATCGATATACCAACATGAGGGGTTTCGGGCGCTATTTCGAGGTCTAGGCGCAAATCTGATCGGCGTTGTGCCCGCCAGGAGTATCAATTTCTACGTTTACGGGAATGGCAAGAGAATCCTAAACAATTACCTCAATCCCGAAGGGCGAGAGAATGTCTGGACCGTCCACCTTCTTGCGGCAGCCACGGCGGGAATTGCAACCGGAACCGCCACAAACCCTATCTGGGTGGTCAAGACACGACTGCAACTCGACAAAAACACTGCGAGTCATGATCCTCTCAAGGGACGACAGTATAAGAACAGCTGGGACTGTATCAAGCAAACTGTCCGGCACGAGGGTATCCGAGGCCTGTATCGTGGCCTATCGGCCTCGTACTTGGGAGTTACCGAGTCAACCCTTCAATGGGTATTGTACGAGCGGATGAAGCTGTCTCTGGCCAGGAGGGAAGCGAAGCGCCTGTCACACCCTGGGTATCAGCGAACAATGCTCGATGACGCGGAGGAGTTTGGAGGGAAGTTTTGCGCCGCGGCTGGTGCGAAGCTCTTTGCGGCAGTCATTACCTATCCGCATGAAGTTGTCAGAACGAGGTTACGGCAAGCACCAACCATCACAACGGAGACAGGCAAAGTCACGATCAAATATACCGGCCTGATACAGTGCTTCCGCCTCGTGGCCAAAGAAGAAGGGCTGGCTGGTTTGTATGGAGGCATGACGCCGCATTTGCTTCGAGCTGTCCCTGCCGCCGCCGTTATGATGTCGACCTACGAGATTTTCCTACGGCTCTTTGGGACCACTTCATGACCCCTGCGCCGCTGCTAGTCCTGGAGAAACAAGGACAACTTGGTCACCACGTCTTCAGCGTGCCTGTACAATTTGTATCGGTCCTACAGGTCGGGCGTTTCGTTTTTGCCATTGCATGGAAACAAGGCGTTTCTGGACGTAACCCCGCTTTGGTCCGACATGGAGCAGTAGCCACTACGAATTATCGGCAGAGGCGCCTGCATCGGGAGGCCAAGAGGGTTTTAATGGAGAGGCGGATAACTGTCCTGGCTGACAAAAGAAAGATACCCACCTCCAAGCTTTGTATAATACCAACATGTGTTTGTGTGTATGTAAGAGAGAGACACAGAGAGGAGAGGCATCTTCTCTCGTTCCAATAAAAGTTTCATTGTAATGTTTGTATTGAGCTGCACTGAGGCATAGCTGATCTTGTTTCAGTTCGTTCTTCTTTTTCCGTGTCCTGTGCCTTTGAAGATGCCGAGTAGTGTGCCTCGCCAGCGTCACCACGTTTACTGGTGTCTTTTGACAAAGGCGAGGGAGGAATGGTGGGTAGCCCGGTCTATTGACCATGAATGACCGCGCCGACGGTCTCTACCCTGCCCTCCCTTTGAACCGATAGCCCTAGGGAGATTACAGAAGATGGCACTCCTCGTGATCATCGGTCCAGAAGAGGGTGCTTCCTCCCATCCAGACAATTCAGCGCAGACATTCCACTGCTCCGAAATTGAGACCCATCCAAGACGGTCAGTATCTCTTGGTTGATCCTTGACTCTGCACCCTGGTCGACAAACATCTCACTCGTTGAAAGGGCGGTAGGCAGAGCAATAGTTGTATCCAGCCAATGAGAACGTATTGGATAGAGTTGAGTGTTGACACACACCATTTTCGAGCCTCTGGCGGTGAGAAATGCTTGATCGAGAGCCAACCGTTTCGCAGGCAGCAATGACGCCAAGGCATGCCGACCGTCTGAATCTGAGGGTCACCCCTGGTCGCCATTGTGAATCCGACCAGGATGTAGGCGGCTCTTTTGCTCCTGGTCACTTTTGTGGGGTTTTCGATCATTCGAATTCTCTAGTGTGCAAGCGTAATTGCTTGAGAGATGTCCAGCCAGCAGCTGTCAAATGCAAAAGGGAGGCGTGTCTAGGGGCCTCCCCCTATCCATGCTGAGGATGTTACCTCCTCTTTCGACGCCCTGCCTTGGTCACATTCCTTGCCGCATCCCTAGCGTCCTCGCCCCGTCGCTTGTCCACATCTTTCGATGCAAGAAGTTCTTGGGCGTCAGGCTCCAGTCTCAGGAATTCTCGGATCGTCCAATCAAAGACGTTGTCGTACTCAAACCCTTGCTGGCGGAAGAGATTGCTGAATACGCTCCGGAGGCGCTGATAGTCTGGTCGATCCTCATCGCGCAAATTGTGCACATAGTCGAAGTAGTCCACGAACTCGGTTGGCAGGTCTGCGCAAAGTTCGCTCGTACTGGTCGCCTGCTTTTTCTCCAGAACCAGCAAGTACTTGTCTTCCGGCTTTGCTTTGAGACCTTGCCAGGGAAGGCTTCCACGGAGGAAATACACAAGCATATAGCCAAGTGCTTCCAGGTCATCGCGCCGGGATTGTGCTGGCGAAAAGTGTCAGCTGGTCTTCTGGCACTTTCTAAAAATAGTCAAGATGTCGCCTTACGGATGCCTAAATGACCCCTGATACTCGCGTATCTGCATGTGCCTAGTAGCTGAGGAGGACGCGCTTTCACATCACGAGGAGGACGAGGTGGACTGTTCGAGCCCCATCGATCAGGGTGGCGGTAAATCGCAAGACCTAAATCGGTCATGTAGACAGTATTCCCTCGCTCACCCAGACCAAGGAGGAAGTTTTCAGGCTTGATATCCCGGTGAAGGTAGTTGTTCGAATGGAGACTCTCGAAGCGACGGAGTAGTTGATCGGCGAGCATTAGCGTCGTCTTCAGCGAGAATTGGTTGCCACAGTATCGGAACAAGTCTTCCAAGTTTGGCCCGAGTAGCTCAAAGACCAAAATGGCAAAGTCGTCCCGATCTCCATGCCAGTAGACCTCAGGAAAGCCAGCTTCCCCAGCAAGGGACCGATAGATGCGCACTTCCTCGGAGAGAAAAGATGGCGCAACACTGTGATGTTCGAGTTTCATGGCCACTTCGTTGCCCGTTTCAGCGTCACGCCCTGTTTGAACGGAATGAGATTGCATTTCGAAGACATGGGTTTGTCAAAGAATTGTCGCCATACCAAGGTAGACATGGCCAAAGGAACCAGATCCTATTTTTCGTACCAAGTGGTATCTTCCGCCAAAGGCCATGTTATAGACATGCTGCATAAAGCTGTCCATCCTGTGTTGTGAAGGTCGTTACAATCGTCCATCGTCGACTTCGACTGAGGGTGTCTTTACGAGGTACTCAGTACTTGTGGCAGTTTGACCTTGGACGACTCGCTCCACTTTCTCCTGGGGCGCCTTAACTGTACGTGGTTAGGCAGCAACTTGCAAGGTACATAGATCGCACATGGTTGCCTAGAACCAACCCCGCAAGCCTGAACCTGACACGCTAAGGGTGGCACGCACAGCCCGCTAACGCGTTAATCTCTGATCCAATAAACCATTTCCTTAGCGCCAGAGGCTTGAAATCGTGTGTTAACCTCCCATCAACGCAGATACACGACTACAAGTCATACGGTGACTGGATGTGAAGTGCGGCATGCATCTCCTGCCACACCTCCTCTCAACATGCAACCTTACCTAGCCTGCCACCGCTGTTCGTGTCCTTCTTTGAGGCCACCTCCTCACACCTTTCTCCTCGACTCTTCGTCCTCTCTTCACTCATGTTCGCCCTCGAAGAACCCGAGTCGAGAAAGCGACAGCGGTCCTCACAAGGGCCCGCGGATCTCGAGGCGGAGCCGGTAGCAAAGAAACAAAAACCTCTGTCGGAAAGCCGTGACCTTCGTTGCCGTGACCTACGTTGTCGTCGTCCTCCCAGCTACTGGAACACGTTGTCCAAGGTTCATTTGACCCGCGGCGCTCTCTGGGAGTTTGACCGCTGGAGCATTGAAGAGAAGGTTCAGTCGCCTTGCGCACCCACGTCCAAGGTCGAATATCCCACAGGACGTGCTGGCCTACGGCTCAAGAGATTTGCTCGATGTGGGGGACCTGATCTTTCACACCTTCGAGGGGTTTGTCTTCTCCTCTGCCGACATGAGCCTGTCTCGGAGACTGACTAGAGTTTGTGACAGCTTGCCAACTTGCCGCTTTCGATCCACGACAGGATGAGCGACCATGTTAGCTCCCAAAGCCGGAAACGCTCCTCAGCCTCGTCGAAGTCGAGTGACTTAGCCAAGATGACCTCTCCTAAGATCACACCTTATAGCGGCAATTTTGAGCAAAAACTGATTGATACTTGTATCTATCCCGATGACCACGAACATCCAGATGGACAGTTTGCGCCTGAGCCGGCAAATTTGAGCGATATTCAGGCCGCACAACGGGTCCCTCGACCGTCTCTCTCACCATCGCGATTTACAGAGGAAGATTTCAGAGCTTTCAAGCGGGCAAATGCAAGAGTGAAAGGCGAGACTACTGGGATTCATAATCTATTCCCTTTGATCGCCGGAAACGAAGCAGCCCATCGTTTCGAGATGGACCTGTCACTAAGCAACCTGCAAGCGTTCGACAGAGATCTCAGTGACCCAAAGCCCGACGTCTATCATGGAGTGGCACTATCGACCATCCACCCGCGGGTGCGCGCTGACTTGGGGACTTACATCATTCCATCGAAGGTCGACATAACTCGTCCGGCCGCTCCGAATTTCTTCGTCGAGGGCAAAAGCGCTCAAGGACGATCGGACGTGGCAAAGCGACAGGCACTGATTGATGGAGCTGTTGGAGCGCGAGCCATGCACGAACTCCAGAATTACAAAGCTAAGGAGCCGGGATATGACAACAAAGCACGAAGCTTCAGCGCAATATACCAGGCAGGCGTTGGTGTCCTCCAGACATACGCGCACCATCTCACAAAGCCTCCAACTCCTGGAGGGAATCCTGAGTATCACATGACTCTAACTGGGTCCTATGGAATGACACACGACAGGGAGACATTCGTCAAAGGAGCTACTGCGTACCGACGCAGTCGAGACCTAGCAAAGACAGAGCGGGACAGTCTCATTGCCCATGCCAATCGGGTGGCCCGCCAGATGCCTGCGCCCAGCACCAAGACACGCTTGACGACCAGCCACAAATCCCAGTCAACGGGCCTTGTCACTGGATCAGACTCCTCCGAAGACGAGCTGGCCCTCAACGAAGTGACCCCGGTCAAGCGCCGAAAACCAAGTGCAGCGTCCGTGAGCTCCGGTTCTGCAACTGGACGAGATGGTCGCTCTGCTTCTGGGGCCTCTATGGCTATTAACAGAGCACCCTTGGCACCTCCATAGACTATCATGTCGCATCTAGACGCATTGGACGACCTTCTTTGGGAATTGAACTACCCACACACGGAATGGAACGCACACATCTTCATTGGAGAAAACCTTCAGACCTCTCCAGGTGATGCCAAAGCGTGCAGGACTCGGGACAAGGTCGTCAGACACGCCCCATGGTTGGAGTTACTTCAGAGCGGATGCACTATAGACATTGCCCGGGTTGGATGTAAAAGCGCAACATTTTCGGTTTCAGCTGCTGTGTTTAGGACACTCTACAGGAAATACTCTGATGCTCGTCCTACGATGGACAGCCTATTTTTTCGACACCTCGAAACCATTTAGATGAGCCTTAGCAAATCTGTCAACAAATAGAATCAGGCTCGTTTAGAAAAGTGTATACGGGCAAGACGGCCATCTCGGAGACGGTGAAACACAGATTCAACTGATTCGCACAGGTGCGATGTTCCTACAGGTGACGTGGTGGCCGTAAAATACGTTTCCTCTTGTACTGGGCGGTCCTGCCGTTTCGGGAAAGGTCGAGGGCTGTGCGCGCCGCTGCTTTTGACGGTTATAAAAACCCTAGTCCCCCGTCATCCGACTCTGTTCATGATCTATAATAATAATACCTCTAGCGAGGTTCCTAAGGGGACTGGGGGATCAGGCGCCCAATCAACAATCTAGAGGCTACTGCCAAGGGCTCGAAACCAGAATGACACCCCTTTATCGTATCAGCATAAGTACAGTCTTGACAGAGCTTGGTTGCCTAGGCGGTCAGCCGCATCATACTCGCATTGCCATGCACAATCATGCGGAAACAAGAAGGCTAGAAGTCGGCCTTTGAATTTCATTGCTTTGTGACAGTTGCCAAGGCGGGCCAAGTTACATTCGTTTACGACTTCACTTAGAGTGACAGCCTTATAGTATTCGGCTTTCTGAGTGCTTGACCAGCTCTATCCTTTCCTGACATACGCCTAGACTTACGCGGCCATATTGCAGTCAGTGCCCCTCATGGTGTCCCGCAAAGTGCCATTGGTGCCATCGCTGCATGATGTCGGGTAATTTTTACCAACCTCTGAATCGTTCACGACGCGAGATACGGCTCATACTCCTGCACAATGATGACCAGGGATTGGAGAGTCGAGATTCACCCAACAGCCCACTGCGATGTCAATTGATTACGACTTCCTTGACGTTTTATGATACAAAGTTTGATATCGATGCTAGAGAAGTACTTTCGGCCGCGTCACCGCAAATCAATGGTCTTTATACATTATACGCCCTCTACAAATTGTTTCGTTTTGCGCAACGGAATGTGCCGCGCATTTTACAGCAAAAGCCTTCCAGGTTTTACGCCCTTTCTTATGTCTGGGGAGATCCGACACGCTTGAGCGACATTGAGGTCAATGGCCAAGTCGCACGGATTCCTGAAAACTTGGCAGAAGGACTTCGAAGCATTCGAGCAAATACGAATATTCGCGTCATTTGGGCTGACGCAATCTGCATCAATCAGCAGGACAACGAAGAGAAGTCATGGCAGATTCAGGAAATGGCGACAATATACAAGCGTGCAGCGTGCGTTATTTCATGGCTTGGACGCGGCACTGCCGAAAGTGACTTGGCTTTCGCTGCATTGCGGAAGTTCAATTTCGGACATGGTCCGCTTCTCAGCAGACTTGTTGATCAAGTGAGACCTTGTAGCATCGTCGTCGCAGCTATTGGATATGCCATCTTAATGATCCGGGAAGGATTTATGCTTCCGCATGCTGGTCTCGGCTCCTCGCGGACATTTAGAAAAATTGTCGCGATTTCGGAAGACGCTATATCAACGCTTCTCAAAGATGTTGAGCACCTGGATGCTGTCCTTTCTCTGGCAAATCTCGTATATTGGTCACGGATGTGGATATTCCAGGAGTTTGCTTGTGCTCGCAAACGGTTATTTCTTTGTGGCGACAGCTTGACCGACAATCTCGACCTCGCCCTGGAAAGTGTAATGCATTGGCGCGGTCTCTCAGGAGCTTCTGGTGAAAGCAAGCTCCACGCAGCTTTACCTCCGATGATTACAGCAGCAAACAACCTAGGGTTCCGAAGATGGAAGTGTTATTTAGGGCCAAGGCTAGCGTCAAGGATAGGGCCTAAGGTTTGGCAGTTGCTCTCGAGGTATCGGGAACATGATGCTCCCGTCCTTCTGAGCCTGTTGCGACAACTCCATTTGCTCCACGCCACAGACGCCCGAGATCATGTCTATGCACTTATTTCAGTGGCTGCAGACCGGCGGGAGTTACACATCACTCCGGATTATGCTAAATCAGTTGAAGTCGTCTTCACAGAAATCACATCAGCACTGCTTCGGCACGGCAACTTGGACACTCTGCTTGACGCAACAAGATCGGAACCAAGACCTGACCTGCCTTCATGGGTCCCATACTGGTCCAACTTGTCAGAACCGGGTTTTGACCCGCATCTTTATCGTTTACACGGGTCAAGTAACTGGTGTCAACGCTGTGCTGGCCTTGATACGTCCCGCTTTCCTGACCTAATCCATCTGGATGGGTTCATTGTTGATGAAATTGTACTTGTGGGGGACACTTACAGGGGCCGAATCTCTCGCAACAGCGATGGTCCGAACGAGAAGCCATTAAAGCTTCTCAAGTCATGGTTGGATTCGATTGGGACTGCCATTTGGGACCATGATAGGTATGTTAAGGATCAAAACGAACAGGAAGCTTCTGCAAGAGAACGCATCACCGCCGATCTTTTGCTTACAGCAACTGTCGGCCTCCCAGCCAAGACTGAACTAGCTCTACCAATACTCAGTCTCACGGGCCTCCTTACGAACCTCGCGAAATCCACGCGGTTGCAGAAGGAAGTTGTACGGGAGTTGACATTCCCAAAAATCGAGAGTGAGGAGATCTGGTTGGCGCAGTATGTCACGAAAGTGGTGAAGCTACTCTCGTCTCCAAACGCCGCTCAACCATTTCGAACCTTGACTGGATATTCTTGCCTAGCCGCCCACGACAGATGTCGAGTCGGAGACCTGGTGGTCATCATACCAGGAGTTGGAATACCTCTGGTGGTCAGAAACACAGGGGCAGACTGTACTCCTAGTAGACATATCTACCGTCTGATTGACCAAGCGTATGTGCATGGGATCATGTACGGAGAGTTCTTCAAACAGAAACCTCGTCCTAAACTTGAGAAGTTGGCGCTCCTCTGAGTTTAGGCTTCAGACGAGATCATCAATAAGTGCGAGCCGATGTCTGAAGGGTACCCGGTCTGGACAGAACCTGTGTTAGAAGAGCTAACCGACGAACAGCTTCTCGACTGTCGTGATGATGACAATCTAAGTTTCTCCGATGTAGTAAAATAGACCAAGACCGGGATACTTCTATTTCTACTATATTTAATCTCTTCCAGAACTCCAAACATCCCCCCTCAACTCCCGTAGATAGTCATGGTGGAAGAAACGTAGACTGATGGCGAAGAACTGACCTCCTGTCCCAGCTGCTGGTCCCGTTGTGCTTCACGACCGCGGTCGGACGATGTTCTCCGAACACGGAGTAACTCTGCCATGCACGCAACAAACCATCGCAGATCTATCGCGCCCCTCCAATTTCGCTTCCGAACGACTTTCCATATTGCCCTGGTGAGTAGAGTCAGTAGTCCTTTCACCACTGAATTTCTCAGAACTTGCCGACAGCTGCTCGTCTCCTCCAGGTTTCGATCTTCCAGTCAATGTTCTGGAGACGAGACGTTGGCGAGCGGCACATAGCACCAGAAGCGGAATAGTGGCTTGGCGGTCAGGTCAATGGATCGCCGGCTACATGGGCTCTGATTGGCCTACAGTCACAAATGCCAAGGCCGAGGGCCAAGGCTGAATAATGATTGCCAGAGCCCCAGCGGAAAGCGCTCACGCTCTCCAGTGCTACAAGGCGAGGTTGTGGCGGAGCTGCTCAGTGTCGAAGCACTGAGACTTAGGATGGCCCATTCCTACATTCGACGAGCCAGTCGGAGGGCACGCTACAGGTCGGCCAAGGCTCAGGCTCGACGCGTGTGGCCCCCGATCAGACTGCCAATATCAACAATCCGCCCTGGGTAACATTCATGTCGACTTGGCAGTTGCACTGACCTTCACCCAGGTTGATCGACGGCGGGGAATACCTAAGCTTCAGCCGTGGACGACGTCATGCTCACTTTTCCCGCTTCCCGCAGCTGATTAAAAGCTATATAGAGCCTCGTCTCGAGTGCTCCGACCCCATGCATCACCAATACTTTCCTCTTCTTGCCTTTTCCAAAAAAAAATACCCTAGAAAATGTCATCAAGACTTGCATTGACGGTACTGAGCGTTTCCGCGGCTGTCGGCGTCCTGGCGCAAGGTGGTGGGCAGACCGGCATTCAATTTCAGCCCTGCCCAGAGCTGAACGCGAACATATCTGCACTGCTGGGTGGCGGAGGCTCAGTCTTTGACTGCGCTACACTCTCGGTACCCCTGGACTACACGGATCCTGACTCGGGTCCGCTTGACCTCCGGTTATTCAGAGTCAATGCCACCCAAGAACCGGTTTTGGGATCCGTCCTGATCAATTTCGGTGGCCCCGGAGGCACGGGCGCGGAGAATTTACCTACGGTCGCTGAAATCGCGCAGAGTGTCATTGGGCCGCAGTGGAATCTCGTATCCTGGGACCCTCGTGGAACTGGTTATACTCTTCCGTTCACCTGCGATCTTGATGCCTTGGCCGCGGCCCCAGCTCCAGCTCAGAAGCGCGATGTTGGCACGCTAATCAGCACCAATGTGACGGAAGTCTTTCTTAACGTCGGATGGGACTACGCTGGTCAAATTGCAGACTACTGCGCCGGACAATCGAACGAAACGGGAACACTCATCGGGACAGCATTTACAGCCCGAGACATGATCGAAATCGTCGACGCTCTTGACGAAGACGGCCTTCTTCGCTACTATGGCTGGTCGTACGGCACGGCGCTAGGATCCTACGTTGCTGCCATGTTTCCCGACCGCGTTGAGCGCATGGTTCTGGATGGCAACTTGAATCCTCACGACTACCAAGCCGGCCACTACGGAGAATTCGCCCACGATATCGACGAGGCTTTCGCTGGCTTTCTCCAGACATGCTTCGACACCGCCGACAATTGCGCGCTATACTCACTTCTTCGACCGAACACAACACAAGATCTCCTCGATGCCATCAACGCTGTTCTGATACCTCTCGCTGAGAATGCAACTTCGAGTCTCGAAGGCTATCTTACCTATTTGGGGGTTAAGGGGACTTTCATTGAGCCGCTTTACTACCCTTCTACCTGGCCCACTTTTGCAGAGACGCTCGCCAGCATCATGAATGGGACCGCCAGCGCGCCCGCCAATACAAGTACGCCTGTGCCTTACGGTCTGGCCAAGTATGCCGTGATTAGAATCCGCGCGAGTGACGCCACATTCATTGCCAACTCGAGCGACGACTACCTTTCTCAGGTCAAATACCAAGCCACCGTCAGCCCCGGCTTCAGCGACGCTTCCTATTTCAACATCTGGCCTTCTGCGCGGTGGCGCATGCACGCCAGGGAGCGATATTGGGGGGATTTCCGCGCCACGACCAAATCCCCGATCCTGTATGTGAACGGCGAGTTCGACCCGGTGACGCCGCTTGTCAACGCGTACAATGGCAGCGCGGGATTCACGGGCAGCGCGGTGCTGCCCCATAGCGGCTACGGTCATGGTGTCTTTGTCAGCCCTTCCGCGTGTGTATCCAGACACGTTCAAGCCTATTTCCTCAACGGGACGCTTCCCGAGGCAGATGCACATTGTGAGCCAGACTTGGACCCCGTCGAGCTATGGCTGTCGCGGGTCCAGGCGTCAGAAGCGAACTCTACGGCTAGCGGCAACGACACTGACGATGGGAGTGGAAATGGTAACGCCACAGCAAACGCGTCCGAGAATGGAGCGAGTCGGGAGAACTCACGTACTGTGTACACCACGGTGGGGATGCTGGCGATAGCAGCTCTGATTTTGTTGTGATGCGTGTTTGTCCGCTGTACATGTACCCCTTGCTGATTGTGGGATGGCATGGTTGCGTGATGTAAGAACAAAGTGGAAGGTTATAGCCCGAGAAACGAGAATGGATGCTCTAGGTGATGGGGATGGGGCCGACGTAAGAAGGGACGTCTGTCCCCGCTGGAGCAGGGAGGAAGGAGAGGGATCTTGGCATTGAGGAGGGAAGGAACCTCCCAAAAGCGGCGGTGGTGACCGCCAAATTCGGCGGGAATTTTTTCTTTGCAAGGACCAGTCCACGCGAGTGGCCACAGGGCGGCATCACCAAAGTCCCGATGTGGGGGTGGGTGGCTAACTCATCTTGGCATCTTGATGTTTACCTTTCCAGATTCATCTAAGTACCTCGACCTGCTCGAAGACGCCCTAGGTACCATAAAACTACATTCTGCACTATCGCTCTGAATCGTCGACTGCTGCTTTTGAATAATGGACTCGATGGACTATCACGATACTCTCGAAGCCCTTCGTGCTCAGCAAAATGCACAACCGCTTTCAATCGTCGCACTCGCGGAGCCCATTACCGCGTCGCAAACACAACCTCTACCCCAAAAGCGACCATCAGGCCTACACCCACGTCCCTCCGACACCCTGTCCACCTCGACCTCGGAGACTGAGTCCAACCTGCAGCTCACGCCTGCCACGCTCCTCGCCGACCTGGCGCATTACAAGGACCTGTTCTCGAAACTGCGCTTCAGCTACCTCGAACAGGTCACCAAGGAGAAATACCTGCGCAGCATCGTGGGGGACCCTCCCCTCGTCGTGAGCCATGAAGACAATCTGGTCCTGGAGGAGCGGCTCGCCGTGATGAAGAGGGAGTTGAAGGCGAAAAAGGACGAGGTCGACGCCTTGGTCAGGGAGATGGAGGGGCGGGCGCGGGATGTCGCGCGCGCGTACGAAGGCGTCAGTAAGGGCATGGACGTACTGGAACGGGTTCCTGCGGAGATCGAGACGTTGCGGGCCGAGGTGGAGAGGTTACAGGCCGACATCGCGGTTCGACGGGGTCACGACGGCGCGGATCCGGGAAGCGGTGATCCGAGGATGCACCTCTCGCTCGCGGCCACGGAACAGGCACTCAGGGAACAACGAGAGCGCAACGCCGAGATCGACAGGGAAATCGCGGAGCTGCAGAGGCTGATGCCCGCAAAGGTGCGCGAGGTCGAGAAAATGGACCGTGAGCTGGTCGATTTGGAGAGGAGGCGCAACGAGAGCACAAAGCTGGCGATCGAGGGGAGGAGGAGGCGCGAGCAAGGGGGTAGGGACGAGGTAGAGGAGTTGGGAAGATGGTATAGAGCCAACGAGACTGTCATGAAGGGATTGCTGGGAGTGTCAAGGACCGAGTCTTAAACGCTAAGGGAACGAGAACACATTTAGACGTAGAGACGAGACGAGACGAGACGGGACGAAGGGCCGACTTTTTGGATGATTGCTGGCGTTTACTGGTTAGATGGTGGCACACAATGATACCCAAGGACAAGGAATGGGAATGGAAATGGGAATGCAACCAAAGATTTCTCGTATGAGGAAAACCTTGTATCGCTCGCTCGCTCGCTAGCTTAGCTACCTGGCGGAATCAACCGCTGGCGTGCTAAAGTTCTTGACTTGACATGTCGTCAATTGGGTTCAATTGGGCTTTCCCCTTTGGTGTCACTGAGATGGCTTAATTTTGCTTTGAACAAAAGTGCCTCTTTGACGTTACATGCCAACACTCCCATCAACATCTGGATAGTCGAGTCGGGCCGAGATTGACTGATCAGTCCCTCATCCGTCATGTTGGTCATATGATCTACTCCTCGTCCTCGCCACCTTCCTCGCCGTCCTCATCCTTCTTTTCCGCAGCCTTGGCCTTCTTTCTCCTGACGCGACCAGGGCGGCCGCCACCGAAGGGACTCGTCAACGCAAAGTCAATGTGCTTCTGGCTGTCAAGTCGCACGACGAAAGAGGGGACGTTGACGATCTGCTTGCCGACGCGGATGTGTCGCTGCTTGATCAGCACACGGGCGTGGTGGATGGACTTGGCGAGACCGAGTTTGTAGACGCAGGTTTGCAGGCGGCGCTCCAAAAAGTCTTCGACCTTGAGGGCCAACACGTAATCGAGTTTCATGCGCGATTCGTCGAGCACACCGACACGCACGAGACGGCGAATGAGGGCGTTGCCTTCGAAGAGTCGCTTGGGGTCCTTTTCGTCGAGGGTCAAGAGTTGACTACCAGCGAAACATAGATGTCAGTAAAATAACCTTCTCCAAAACTCTCTGCTGCAGAAGGGGAGACTCTAAAGCAGGACTGGTGATTGCATACCGAGCAGCACGTCGAATCTTGGACAGCGTGAGCATGACACGCCAGACTTCACGCTTGTTGCGCAGGCCATATTCGCCCACAATCTTCAATTCCGAATCACTAGCGGACAGTCAGAATATCTCAGACATGAAGCACAGACAAGCTGGTGCTCAGTGGCCAGGATATTAATTAACGTACAGACGGGCAGACTCGAATGCTGTTTTTACAAAGTCAGCCTGTTATTCTCTTTCGGACACGCAAAGCACGGCATGGCACGTCACTTACGTCGACGAGGGACCTTGTAGGTCTTTGAGTAGGAGCGCGGCGCCATGATTGCGATGTAGACGGCGCAATCGAGATGGTCGTCGCAGGTGAGAAGTCGTTGGGCGGTTGGACGGTTATTTTTCGTAGAGGAGATACAATTGAGGTGGGCTTGTGTCTGGTGCAAAATTGGGCGGATTTCGAGTCTTGGCGTGGCCGCACAATTCGAATTTCACCCTCCGCGGCTTGGCATTGATTTTGGGCAACTGCGCCTTTGAGCCCACCACACCAACATTGAACAGTTCTACAATCCGTCTCGACAACCAGATCTTTTCCTTGCCGACAAGTCGCCTCGAACTCATCTGTCACAATGGGTCACTCTCGAGGTCTCCGGTCTGGCACGCGCTATGCGTTCAGCCGCAGCTTCCGCCAGAAGGTACGAATCAGACAGAGAATGTATGCGAAGAAGCTGAAGGACTGACGGTGTGAATTTTACAGGGCATGATCCCTCTCTCGACGTACATGAAGACATACCGAGTCGGTGATATCGTCGACATCAAGGCCAACGGCGCAGTCCAAAAGGGTGTATGTTGTGTCCCCTTGAAGCGAACTTTGCAAATGCCACCCGGCAGTTTTTACCCTCTACCACCCACGACCGCCGATAACTGATCTTTGTTCTGGAAAAATCTAGATGCCCTACAAGGTGTACCACGGCAAGACTGGCGTCGTGTACAACGTGACCAAATCCGCCGTCGGAGTCATCATCTACAAGCGTGTCGGAAACCGATACATCGAGAAGCGAGTCAACGTCCGCGTCGAGCACATTGCCCATTCGAGATCGAGAGAAGAGTGTAAGTTTCGCCTACCTCGCTTTCTACATATCCATTCGTGTAGCGACCTGGATACTCTTGTGGAGGAGTCTTGTGGAATCCGATTGAGGTGGTCATTTGCTGATGTGTGATGTGAATATATGCAGTCTTGAACAGAGTCAAGTCGAACGCCAACCGCCGCCGCGAGGCCAAGGAGAAGGGCGAATCCGTGCAACTGAAGCGTCAACCTCAAGGTCCCCGAAAATCCCACGTCGTCGAGTTCACAGGTGTCGAGAGTCTTGCTCCTCAACCATACGATACGCACATCTAAACGGGGAGAGACTGGGTTTTGCGTGTCCTTTTTTTTGCCATGACAGGCCAGGACGGGTCCTGACTCGACGAGATGGGTATGGAACGGGGAAGTGAAATAGAGAACTTCAAAAAGCCATGGTTTGTGGAGGTAGCAGAAAGAGAGAGTCCCAAGGACGAAAAACCAGGTCCTGCCTGCTCTTCTCCCAGAGGCTATGTGTGTGGGCGGCTTTGACACCCCGAAAAGAGAAAATTCCGACAGAGCAAAATAATGGCCAAGGGTCTTTTTCCTTTTCCTCCATACCTACCTACCTGCCTACCTGCCTCGATATGCTTCGTGCCTAGGAGAAATGACAATCAACTTGAAAACTGTCAAAACAGTGTCGAAGGGATGGCGCATGACCCTGAGAATGCGATGCGAATGTGACTGCGAGTGCGACCGCGACTGTGAATTCGTTGAAGCGAACCTACCAGTGTGAAACAACGCAAGAGGAGAGAGAGAGAGAGGCCTGCCATTGCCTGGATCATGACCAATTCTCTCTTCCCCCGGATCGTGTAACTTTTGCGCCTGTCTGTCTGTCTGTCTATCTCCCTACCCCCGTGTGTCCTTCGACGTCCTGTACAAGCAAGCAAGTCCCTCCCAGGGGTGGTTGACACGGCACAAAATCTACCAACCAGGTACCGTTGAAGCAGTAAACTATCTCGGCCTTGCTTGCTTGCAGTGTTGACTCGTAGCGGGATTGCTCGTTCAATCTTAAGAGGGAAGTCATGTGTAGTCTCGAGGAATTGACTGGCTGGCTAGCTCAGCTCTCAACTACCTGCCTATAGTCGCAACGTCACGAATCCTGGTTTTCTGCACCTTTAGTCGCCACGGCCGCCATGAATTCCCGGGTCCCAGGTGAGACGCAGGTTACTCCTCAATCGCCATCGATACCGTGTCGTGGCTCGCACATCCAGAAGTTGTCCAATCACCCACATGTTGACGGCAACGTCTCCTTCCCCATATCCCGGATAAACTGGTGTAAAACGCCACGCTATGCCTTTGGGTATCATGCATTTCTGAATTCAGTAGATATGAGAAAAGCCCCAATCCCCCCCAAACCCCTGATTTCATCACTGGTCGGTCACGACCGTCGTTTCGTGTAGGTCGACACGCATGTCTGGAAAGGGAAATAAGCGGAGAAAAGGAAGTGAGGACCGCCAGCGGAGAGAATCACATTCATCATTCGACATGCTGGCCCGCGGGTTTCGTCGTGATTCTGAACAGACGTCAGATCTAGAAGGTAAAGTCATCCTCATCGCCACTCTCCACCCCAAAGGCGCGAAGCTCTTCCTGTGTCATCAAAACCGGGTCTTTGAGCGGCAGTTTCTTGTGAACGGCAAGTGGATGGGTGTTATTTGAAGTCGGCATGCGGAGGTCCTGGAACCGGCCCGTGTCATTGGAGCTGGAGATTCGGGAAGATGGCAGGACCTGAGATGCCAGACACTCAGGTGAAGGAGGAGGGTCGATATCGTCTGAGCTGGTGGATGCACTCATGTTACTTAAAACCACAGAGGGGACGTTGGAAGAAGCCATCGAGCTGATATCAGACACGGCTTGATCGTCCATGTTTCCGAATGCGTCGAGAACGTGTCGTTCGCCAGGCGAAGGCTTTGCTGTTGGGTTTTCCCTTAGAGGAGGTGGTGGCATCGTCCCTGCGCGTAACATTTCGTTCGGTAAAATTTCTGACAGAGCCTTGTCCGCGCACTCCGTGACAGGAATATACGGATCAGGCAAATGCTCCCCATGATAGGTCCATTTGCGACCAAATCCTTCAAGGAAGGGGTCAGTCTCCACTTGTGCCGCATCGTCACTACGCGTTGACCGTTGATCAGCAGTCTGCAATGCCTCGCCTCCGTCATGCAGAACTGTGTTCCTTGCAATTTTCACCAGTGTATCCTGAAGAACCCAGGGGAAGGATATAAATGGCATTGTCGAAGAAGCCAAGCCTGGTATATCTGAATTAGCAGTCTCTGAGTCATCCTCTTGGACGTCTTGCTGGTGTGTTTGTGCCTCTCGAAATTCGTCGTGAGTGACATGATAAGCTGCTATCGCGAATGGCTTAAGCTTCTCAGTCTCATGTCCTCCAGCCTCCTGGCAGATTGCTTCGTAGTATTGGTCCTTCAAAGTTTTGGCGTGCTGTCCAATCTCTTCATGGAACTTGAAATCTCTAGACACTTTGCTGTGATGGAGTACAAACGTAGACCAAACCTCAAACTCGGAACCAATTTGATGTTGAGCCATGATGCGCCGCAGACTCTCATCGTAACTCTTTTTCATATTGCTGACAATATCTCTGATCTCATCTGCTGGTGTATGCATGAGGATTCGGGGGTCGAAATTCCCTGACCAATGCGGCTTAAATTTCGCTCTCTCAACTGCATCGTACAATTGACCTAGAATCTTCTTAGAACGGTATCCCCCCGTTCGCTTCTTTTCCATGAAGTGAGGCCAGTTATTTCGTTCAAGGTCTCGACTCATCTCGGCAGGGATGCCGGTCTTGGGATAATCAACAGCCAACGAATGGAGCTCGACAAGCTTGAGGCATTGCTCGCTGTTGATTCCGTCATGGAGGTAGTCAGCAGCTGCGAGATGAGCATTGGCGATCCTTCCGAGGAAATCATTCTGCATGTAATCGTAGAAGAAATTGATAATATCGTCGATAGATATCTGCTCTTTCTGTATTGGCTTCGGAGCATTATAATGAAAGGGTTCGGCATTCCATTCCGAAGGAATGAGATCTGGGTCCCAGCTCACAATGTAGTCATCTCCGTCGAGATCACCGCCTGAGCACATACTTGGCAAGTCACGATCTCCAGTCGCTGGCATGACCACCACATCACAGTGATGGTGTAAATGTGGCACATCAATGGCTTTGACCACTCTTACATCACCTCGGTGCAAGGACGGATTTCGGGCAATGATACAAATTCCTTCCACAATGCGGCGCACTCCCTTTTGTTCCGGGTCGGTGTATTGGATGAAGACCTCTGGCAACGATCTCTCCTTCTCCTGTTGGCTTGCGCCAGGTCCAGGCTGCATATCATTGATGTGGCCACGAAGTGTCCTAGTTTCATCGACAACGCCGAGCACGAAGGCTCCTTGAGTGATGGGGATCTTCGCTTTCTCCTTCAGGTACTTCAAGGTCCAGGCCCTCCAAAGCCGTATCAGAGACGTCACAAAGGGTTCATGGATGTGGCTGAACCCGGCCTCTATCAAGGAAGCGATGCTCAGGGTGATTGAATTGGGGTCAACGGTGGCGCGCAACGCTCGCAAGGCAGCTTTGTCATCGACGAGAGCGGCGTCCAATGCCTTTATGCAGTCCAGTTGCTTGTGCAAGAATACGCGATCAGGGACGCCGAGCGCCGAGAGCACCAAAATGATCTGACGGTTGAGGAATGGTTGCCAGAATTCCGACACGCGAATGATCTCCAACTCATCGGACTCACAGCTGAATTTGTACTGACTCGGACGGATTTTGATGTCAACGCCATTGAGCTTGGGATCCACCGCCAGGACGCCCTTACAGCCACCCAGTCGAAATTGGAATGCTGAAGGCAGGTGCTCGCCACCAAGTTTGAGGTTAGTTTTGACAAGCTGAGCAGCAAGAGGAGAGATTTTGCCCACTCCATCGGTGAAAGTGTAAGGACCATTCACGATGTCCGGGATCGGGTCTCTTTTCCAACTATTTCTGCTAAGCACCGGAACTGGTTTCGTAGTAGAAAAGCACTGGCCCATTCGCGCGGCTCGCTTTGCGACAACCTTTTCGTGGTCAAAAGTGCCCATTTCTCTGCGAATACTGTCGGCGGTGATGACGGGGTTCTGTGAGGCAGCGAAGAAGTATGCTCCGTGTTCTCGGAGCTGTGAGTTGCCCCACGCGAGAAACTCGTAATGTCGATCACCAAGAAGAATACCATTTTTCAGTGTACGACGAACTCTCTCAAAGACGAGCTTCATCTTGCCATTTGTTGCGGGATAGAGCCTTGTTTGGCCCCTATATGGCTCATCTTCGAAGCGGACCCGAAGAAATCGATCGCTGAAGCGCCTATACTTCCGCACAATACGATTGGTGATCTCGACGGACGGGGTGTGAAAGAGGATTCGGGTTGCGGTGACCGTGGCATGGTATATCTCCGCGCAATTCACTGGCAGTGGACGAGCACGGACAGGCTTTGAGTAACGAAGATCGGTAAAGATGGACATGGGATCGTAGACTCTCTGTTGGTGTGAATCGACATGAACGAGCATCTGCTTCGCACGCTCAGGTCGCATTGCTGTAGCTGTCGCAGGAACTTGTCGTCCAAACTGTACTCATTGAGCCAGCCTTTGGAGATACAAACTTCAAGTTGATATCTCAAATCGAAACCAAGATATGGCAAGGAAAGCTGGTCCGAGAGGGATTGAAGTGAGGAAGTACCACTCAACATACGCCAAAGAGGCGCCACGCCACTTTGGCCTGATACGACCCTGAACGAAGGATCACGAGTGATGCGTATGTTGAAGTCTGCCAGAGCCTTAAGGAAGAATTCCAAAGAACTGTCGGGGCGGTCAGTGCATGGCTTGATAGTGACCCGGAAGGTTGTCCAACGGCCAATGTCAATGCTGTTGTAGAGCTTTTGCACTGACACAGGACTGCTGTCGATCTTTGTGTATGTTTCCTTTTCGTCGACAAGGTCGGTCTGTCGAGACCATGTATCATCCGCGGACCATCTGTATGACTTCGGGTCGTGGCTCAGCTGCATGGCCTCCTTCAGTTGCCTTGAATAGCAGGGCGGATGCTTTGCATGGATCACCAATGAAGACAACACTCCATTTGGAACCTTAGAGAGAGAAAATTGATCGTCGAGAGCTAGAAAGAATCGGTAAACTCTTTCGCTGGTCTTGCCCTTTGATTTGATCAGCACGGGAAAGTGGACTTCCAATTCTAGGCGTTTCAGATTGAGAAGCAGTCTGACACCGCCACCATGAATTTCGGACTTGCTCGCCTTAACGACCATCAGTGACGGATTTTGAAGATAGCCGAAGTCGATCGAGTAGCCTAACAAGGTCATTTCGGACGGATATGTCAGGCCAGAGTAAGCACGACTCTGAAAGACTTGAATTGTGGGTTGGTTTTGGGACAAGTACACTCTGACTCTGTTTGGTCTTTCACCATCTTTGCTTCGAAGAGGGAAATCAATGCCATGTTTGTACGCCGGGTCCCATGGAGCTCTCCGAACGGGCGGGGGTCTGTGACTTGGATTAGCAAAGATTTTCACCATCATAGATTTACCTACTTGAAAACAACCTGAGCAAATCTGGCGAAGTTGCCTTGACGAGTCTCCTCGATGCGGATGTACTCTAGTCTCCCAAAGCGCTGTAGATTCTTATGGATATCGTAGGTTGTTGTACCGTGGGGCAAATTAGGAATGGTTGCTTTCACCGACGGCCAGCTTCTCCATTCTTTCTCAGCGCCGTTTTGGCGCGTCACATCACGGGTTCCAGGTCTGTTCAGCGGGTATGGAGGTCGTGTGTTCATCGTGGCACTCGGAGGTATAAGCAAAGGCAGCTAGCCATAGTCTAAGACAGAGGGGCGGTCAGGCTGAGACTTCGGGGCTTGAAGGTGAGGCCAGAGGTCCGGTGGGAGATAAAGCGCCGATCACTGGATGAAGCCTATTATTTCGACCCTTGAATGGCCTATCGAGGTGAAACTAGATCGATTGGGGGAGGCGGAAAGTGAGGCCAGTAAAGTGAGGTCAACCAGGTGAGCCTATGACGGAAGCTGATCGCTAAGCCAAAAATGAGGAGAGAGCAGAGGGTGGGAGGTGTTGTTGTAGAGAACTGGAGAAGGTGATCTGAAAAATTCATGAAAGGTAAAGTTGTAAGTATGCTGCACCAGGTGGTGTGGTGTGTTGGTTGTAGAAGTGAAAGTGCAAGTGATAATGGCTCGTCTGATGGGAGAAGGTGGAAGTGAAAACTGCACCCGGATGTGACGACAGCGCAGTTCACGGCCGAGCTTTGAAAAACAACAATTCCACTCGCCGACTGAGCTGCACTTTGCTCTGAATTGAGACCGTGATTGTTAATAGGACACCAAAGAGATCGGCCACCTCATCAGATGCGTCTCGTTTTCTTTGTTCGAGCGACATCAAATGGAAAGGCACATTTACCCGCATAAACGGACAGGGCAGCGACCCATTGGCTGCACTGGCAAACGACAGCAAACGAACGCACAGATGTTGTCCTATCCCATCCACCTCTCTGCAATGCGCCACAGAGCGTCTGTTGGCGGCACAAAACCACACGGTTCTCAGAAGAAGTTGTGTGCTATCGAAAAGGAATTAGTTCCACGCCAACGAAATTCGAGACGCCCGACCGTGCGGTATCAGCAGATCCCAGATCTCGGAAGGGATCCTCACCTTGAAACCGCGGGCACCAGTGCCCGATGCCGCCACCCATTTCTTGGCCAGATTAGGGCCAGTTCTAGACGGACGAGTTAAGGGCATGATAACCTAATACACCCGAGGGCAAATCGGACGGCTGCTGTTGCCGTAGTGGGGATATTGCTGAAAATCAAAGAGATGTGTAGATGTTCATGACAGCTGAGTGGCAGCTCTTTGAGAGCTCCATCCCTGATAGGGGAACCCCCTGTCGCCTGACAGACATCGACCCGCGGCTCTACAGCTGTTGGACTCCAGTCAGACCGCGTTTTTGCCACATGGCAAGATGGGACTGGGACCAAAAGGACAAAATACTTGTTTCTCTCCATCCACACGCATATTCCACGCTCAAGGTCATACGTTTCAATCCAGACAAAATTGCTGAGTCGTAGAGATGTTCCCTGATGTTGATGGGTAAGATATTACTCTCGATCTCTTGACCGCATGCAGTCTCCTCTTCGTATTGCTCAATATCCGCTCTCTGATCTGTTTCAAGGCCCTCCACACCTGCACCTTTTTGTTTTGACAGCCCTGATTATCATTGATAATACTTCGAAAAGAGGCGAACCCGAGGCTTCTAGGGAAGTTCAGGCAGACAGGTGAGTCATTGGTGCCCTGCCCCATAGCGCCAAATCCGTTGCCCTGGTGGCTGTCTCATGCCTATGTTATATTCTTCACTTCTGTTTTTTATCACATTTATAGTTTAATACGATTGATTTACACTGGCTATGTGCGCCCTAATTAACTAGCCCAACACACTCCTGAGAGGTCTAGTATATACCCAGTCTACCCTGATGTCTCATGGAGTTTGGAGTTGCAATCATTTAGAGTCTGGATACCCCCCCCCAAAAAGCGTCTTGAGAGCCAGGTTCTGAGCATCTATACAATATGTTGACTCGCCCGAGTACTGGACAGGAGGCCCAGCCACACCTTCGGTAGTCTCGCACAGATCAACAAGGCGGGAGTCCACGTGCTGTTTTCAGTCGCCTGTCGCGTTCATACTATGCACCCTCGCAAGAACCCTATCCTGGCCCTCCCACGGGGCTGCTCTAGTTAAGACTCACATCTACCACGGCCAGAATCGGAAATCATCAAAGCCGGTCCATAAATACGAAAACTCCAGGAGATATATGCAAGTAGTCCAAGGTAAGGCCATTCTGACTCGTGCATTCGATCCAGCTCCAAAATGACCCTCATTGATAGGTATGCCAGAGACGGAAAAAAGACGTTTATGCGCATTTCTCTAGAAAAAAGGAAAGAATCTCAATCAGCCAAGCTGCTGCCATTGCCGTTACAATGCGTGTTTGTTTCCCCTTGATAGACCGTTGCGCCAATTGGGTTCGCCTTAGAATGAGCCCATAGAATGTAAGCCGGTTCGGTGCCGTGGTTTCGCAGCGAGTGAGTAAACCCTGGTGGAAAGTAAAGACAATCCAGGTAGCCAACTTCTGTGTTGCCTTGACCGAGATTGACGACTGCTTTTCCTCCCGCAATGATACAGGTCTCTGACACTTGCTCTTGGGCGTATGGTGGTTGTTTATGGCCCGGCATGAGGACCGTCAGCCCAGCCGTAATCTTCTCGCTCTCGACCGCCAGCCCACGATTCAGGTTCTGGTACCCAGATGGACCCCCGATCCAGTTGACTGACCATCTAAGAAACTCGGGTTCCTTGGCGCGAGGTAGTGACCAACAAGGCTCCAGATCCTTTAGTGAGACGATCGTGATCGGCTCCTTGCCAGGCGCGTTTCTAATGTCCTCTTCCGTCGTACAGTACACCGTAACCCCCTTTTTCTCGACTCCATCGTGTAGCCAGACCATCTCCACATCTTCAGAGCCGCAATTGCGCACGCCGTGAGGAACACCGGCAGGAATGTTGATCAAATCCATGGGACCTGCTCGGTGAGACTTGCCTGTCCCATCGTACCCTTCCAGAAAGCCCTTGATGATGATATATATCTCCGTAACCTCGTGGTAGTGTAGACCTTGTTGCCGTTGTCCCACTGGTAGATACATGAATCCAACACCAATATCTTCATTTTCCACAGCTTTTCCGGGGCTGGAATTGATATAGCCCGCCGGTCCGCCGACCCAACTAATAAGCCATCTCATGGTGCCGGGGACTTTGGCTCCGGGGACGTGCCATGATGGCTCAAGATCGCTGAAGCGAACGAGGGATGTTTTTGCACCAGGCTTCATGGCTTGCTGTGTTCAGGATCGAATGGTCGTGGTAGGAGAGACTTGAACAACGCTGACTTCGTTCGCGCAACAGGGCGAGACCCAGGGAGAAGAGGTATCAAACGCTTGGATGTTCCCACGCACTAGGCAACATCCTGAAAGCGAAGGAAAGAACCCTTGCCGATATCGTAGCCGGGCATGTCAATGCTCTATTTCCTAGATTGCCCTGGTTCCAATCGCACCATTGCGTGAGCCTTGCGAGGAATGGGGATCGTTCTTTCTGAGGCGATGTCCTGTCAATTCCGAATTCCTAATACCGGAATTCCACATTCCGTGGGAAGGTTTTGAAAGGCCAACCCCTAGCTCGGTGGCAACCTCGGGCCCATCGTTTGGTGTGGTCAGGGTGGGTAGGTAGGTGGCAAGAGCTCTTGAAGACCACATGGCACTTCGCCTCGACTCGAGTCATAAGATGATCCTCCTGTAGAAGTGAAGCCAGATGGTACACTGTGGGCCAAGGGACAGGTTGGTTCAGCAGCCGCAGGGGGCGGCACCAGCTTTCAAAAGCAATGTAGATAGGCCCCCACACCCCGCACTTGGCGCCCCCCGGGGCGTGGACTGGCCTGCCAGTGCCTGCCGAACAGCCCGAATGCATAAAAACTTGGCCTGTCGACGTTGCCGCAGTAGTTCCTTATTGCTCCTGGAAGACACACGCCAACGTCAAACAGACCAGGCTGTATCCTATTACATTCGACCAAGAACTACCAGGCGCCATCACCGACCATCGTGCATGAGAGATGGATCAACCGGCCTTTCACCACACCTCTACAGGTCCCTTGCTGAACGATTTGGTTCCTGGCGCCGGCATTGGCGCAGGGACCGAGCTGCCAGCAGACGTCCAACAGACATCTATGCCCATCGCAGAGCCGACGTCTGCCTCCCGACTCCCTCCACCGACGCGCCGAAATAAGTACACGTCACGAGCTTGGTGAGTGCTGCCGGCCTGCTCGCGGATGTCGTGGAAATCTTCAAAGACTGACGTGGAATCCTTGTCTCAGCCTGAAATGCCAGCGACGGAAAGTGAGGGTTAGTGTGTTACTCATTGAGAAAACGCATCTTCGAACCTCAATGTGGCAGTATTACTGACAGGATGATAAGTGTTCTGGAGAACAGCCTGGCCCATGCTACCAATGCGGCCTGACTGGCGCCAATTGCGAGTATCGAACGGGTTCGCGTCGAAGGCACCGAATGGTAGACAGCTCAGGCAACGCCAGGCGAGTACCTCTTTCCTTAGATTTACTACATTCAAGGTCTTGAGATGAGACATGTTGACAATAAACCCCCAGGCCGAGCCGCTTGGAGAATGTATGCAATGCCGCTCCGGCTCCTCCTTCTAGCCCGCGTCATGGTTCAGTCCAGCCAGACTCGCTCTCAGCGTCAGGAAGCGCCCCAAAAAATGTGGCCACTCAGTCTGCGCCATCAGGTACTCAGCAAACCATGGATTTTGAAGCACGATTGGCGAGACTGGAGAAGGCTTTTCCACAGCAAGCGGAGCTACCTGACGGGGACGATGCTAGCCCTAGCGCAGGCTCAGATTGGTTATCGCCGTCCGTCGCGCAGAACGATCGCTCCTCCCTCCTAGAGAACGATCCGGATCAAATGGACGAGGCGATTCGCGGAGGGACGAGTGCCCGCAAGACAATAGCAGACCTTGACCAGCTTATCCCTCCAGACAAGTCAGTGGAACAGCCCGTGGCCCTAAACCACTGTCCTTTCGCACGTTACAATGCTTTCCCGGACTGTTGCGAGAGGGAATTACTCGTATGGACATCCCGCATGAATTACCGAAATCATGACCAGGACCAGAATACCCTGAGAAGGTATTTTACCTTTTTGAATCCGCACTGTGAGTTTTGGTCTCCAAGCATTC